CATTTATTTTTAAATGTTCATGAGGAGCTGTGGGCTGCCAGTCTCTGCCTTTGCTGCAAGCCACACACACAACAGTGATGGGAAATGGTCCCCAGCCCTGCAGAACTGAGGCCGAGGGGTACAGAGTCAGGCAGGATGCTATACAGAAGGGAGGGTTCCTAGTATATGTGAGAGCCTGAGAGGCCCTGAGCCACAGGCAACACGGCTCCTGCAGGGAGGCTGGTAACATGGGCTTCGGGCAGAAGCCCTAGAGCTGCAGACACTGTCCTGCTTCAGAGGTAGTTCAAGAGCTCTAAAGGAAGATGGGGGTAGGCATTGTGTACCCCTCATGCAGCCAGGGGCCTGGACCTGAAGCTCCTGGGGTGGTGAGGGCCCTCTCAGCCAAGCCCGTGCTATGGTAAATGGACAGGCGACACTGTGCCAAGGAAACAGCTATATACCTTGCCGACGCGCTTGCCCTCCACTGCCAGCACTTTCATCTTGGAGAAGTAGTGGTAAAACGCCACCACGTAGGTGATGATGGATTTCTCATCAGGGTTTTCTGTGAAGACATCTGTAAAGGGGGAAGGTACCTTCTCAGCACCAGCCCGGAAGCTAGAAAAGTCACTACAGGCACTACGGGATAGGCACTGGGACAAGAATATAGGAGCAGAAGACCTGTGATTTTTAATAGTGAAGTCCCTATTAGGACCACAAATTGCAAAAGGAGAAAGACAAGGGGATCCCAGGCTGCAGGGACTTCACATAGGTCAGGTGAGGCCCGGGAGTTCACAGCTAGACTAGAAGAGCAGGCCCAGCACAGAGCCCTGGACCAAGCTCCAGGAGCACCACCTGCCTAGATCCCACCAGACAGCAACAGTGTGGCCCACCTTCGGGGTCCAGGAGTGGGATGATGCCTAGCTGGCGTTCGGCCACATCAAATGCATGCTCCAGGTTGTGCCGGGCATTGGAGTCCTTCAACTTGTCAAAATCAATGAGGTCAGGCCTGTGGATGAAGCTGTGCTGTTACAAAGGAGGGGCTGCGGTAACCTCACCTCCAGGGCAGCCCCAGCAGGAAGCAAGGACCTGGGGCAGGTGTAGGGAGGTGGATGGGCAGAAGCAACAGGAGACAGGAGCTGGAAAGAGCAGGCAGCTGGGAGCATAGCTGGCGAGGAAGTGGCAGCAAGTGTGACAGAACAGAAGCAGAGCCCCTAGGGGAGCCAAGAGTAGGAGGAGACATGGAAGAGACATTTCCATGATGCGTCTTCACACCCCAACAGTAGGGGGCGCTCCTTCCTCATACCGGTGCTTGTGTATCAGGGCGTTAAAGGCCAGGCCATCCTTCCAGCTGGAGGTGAAGTTGGTAACATTGACGTGGGGGTAGCTGCAGCCAAGAGAAACAGAAAACCTAAGAAACAGATCCTTTTGCAGGTGCGAGCTCCTATGTGACCTGAGTGAGGGCCGATACACCAGGGGAGAGAGACCTGTATCGTCTTGAGCTGCTGCAACACAAGGGGGCACAGCAGCAGCAGCAGCAGCAGCAGCACCATGAGGCCCCCTCAAGCTGCGGCCTCTGCAACCCACAGGCCCCACGGTCTGACCCGTGGCAACTCTGGCAAAGAATTCTGCAGTCCAGGCCTCAAAGAGCTGGGCCAGGACAGAGTTGGACCTGTCAGTGTTCTCTCTTCTGTCAGCAAGGATGTCGGGAGTCTCCTGGGGACGGCAGCCCCTGGAGGGAGTGAGGGGCCGGCAGGGAAGGTGGCCGCGGCAGAGCCGCAGGGCATACACACCCTGCTGTCTTCATCTGGCACCACAGCAGCAGCGCATCCTTGGCTGAGCGCGTCTCACGACCTTCCTGAGTTTGGACAACAATGTCCTGAATCTGAAGGTGGCAGAGAAGAGATGCGTACCAATCAGCTGCGCACCTGCCTCTGTGCCTCCCACCTCCGGGCAGCTCCCTCCCTCTCGTCCTCTGTGCCATCCACCTGCAGCAATCCCAGCGTGAGGCCTTCGGTCCCAGCCTCAGGCAGCCAGCTGGGCACAGGGACACGTCCTCACACCAGAGGACGCCGCTTTAATCAGACCACTCGAGCAGGAAGCCAAGAATAGATGAAAAGCTGGCCCGGCTCCTCCTGGGGTGTTACAGTGCTCCACAAGGTGGCAGGAGGACATGAATATCAAGTGGTATAATTTTTTTATTAGCAGCTTTCCTTGCCTTTACATTCTTGTCAGTTGTGCTGGGTTTCTGTTGTCGTCGTTTTGGTTTTTGCAGTACTAAGGATCGAATCCAGCCTTTGCACTGCACTCTATCCCCAGAACTTTTTAAAGTTTTGAGACAGGGGCAGTGCTAAGTTAGTAAGTGGCTCAGGCTTGGCTGTGTTATGGCTGTGTCTAGATGTCTCCCCGACACCCAAAGCAGTCCTAGGTGGCGCTTTTTCAGAAGTGTGAATCTAGAGTGTGTGACTGATTGATTCATGGTTCGACGCTAGGATGAAAGGTGCTAGGAGTAAGGTGAATGATTGCTAAATCAGTCCACTGATTGGTTTGTCACTGCCCTAGTCCCAGTAGCCTGGATACAATATAAGGAGTAGAAAGAGGCTTGTCTTGTCCCTTGCTTGCTTTCCTACCTTCTGACTGCTATGAGCTCTTTCTCCTCTGTGATGCCCCTGGGCCATCTGCCATGTGTCAGTTGATTATGGGCTGAAACTTCCATGAGCTGTGAACCAAATAAACCTTTCCTCCTCTAACTCTGGGTGTTGGGGATTTTATCTTAGCAATAAGAAAAGTAAGACAGCTGGACCTCAGGGACCTGCTGCATGAGCCTCATGGGGTGCTGAGACTGCGGGTGTGCGCTAGGCCTGGCCCCGGGCTGCTGCTATCGTTTTCTCTTCTGCACTCCTAGGGAGTGAGGCCCTTGGTCTGTGGGCTCTTTCAGTCTTCCTCCTGTCCCTTGCCTCCTTGACTGCATCCTTCTCATCTTGGCTTTTTTTTTTTTTAATCAGATAAGACCCAGTCGATTTTATTTTATTTATTTATCTCTTTATTTGGCAGAACCGAGGATTGAACTCAGGCCCTTGCGCTTGCCAGGGAAACGCTTATTCCACTGAGCCATCTCCCGGGCCATCCTTCCCATCTTTGAGTTCCTGTTTCTCTTTCCTCATCCTTTCTCAATTTCCTTACCAACAATCTGGACCTTGAATTTCTTTTTTTTTTTAAATTTTTTTTAAAATTTATGTGTGTGTGTGTGTGTGTGTGTGTGTGTGTGTGTGGCCAGCTCAGCCCACGGGGGGTGGGGGGGCTGGCTGGCATGTGGTGCTGGGGGATTGAACCGCAGTCCCTGTGCTTTGCTAAGCTTGTTCTAAGTAGGTGCTTTAGACCACGGAGCCATCTCACCAGCCACTGAACCTTGAATTTCATGATGAGAGAAAAATATCTGGCTAATAGCAGATTTTCTGTCCTCATTTTTGAATAAAATTCTTCAAAAGAAGAAGAAGAAGAAGCTACACACAAAAGCAGATAAAAGAGCGTATGGAGCAGATCTTCCAGCTAATTGAAACCCAGCTACCAATTAACTTCCGTCTCCTCCCTCAAAAGACTAAAACTTGGAAGTGGCCCCCAGTGCTGACAGTAGGGTCTCCTGACAAGCCCTGTCCTCCCACAGTGTTCACCACTGTATAAGCTTCTCGAGCTCTGGAAAGCCACAGGGACCCACCTGGAAACGGAGGATGATGGTCCAGATGAGGCCCAGGACCAGGCGGTGGTTGCCATCCACGATGTCATGGGAGCCCATGTTCTCCAGGTGCACGCGCTGCTCCTTGAGGAACTGCAGGGCCTTGTCCACATTCTCCAGGCAGTGGATGCGCATCTTCCCCTTGGTGGGCCTCGGCTGGGGGATAGCAGTGGACCCGTGGGCATACAGGGACTACAGATTCAGCCCAGAGGAGGCTGCAGCCTGTGCCACATCCTGCTCAACCCCTCCTCATCCCCCCACTCCCCACCCCGCTTTCCTGGCCAAACTTCAGGTTCCACAGTTACTCCCCGCCTTTTCCAACCCTTCGTTTAGCAAAGCTCAGGAGTTCCTGACTTGTCACTCAGAGCTCTGCAGCCAGCCAGCTTGCACGGTTCCTCTTCTGGGTCTGACACCACCTTCTGAGGGGTGCAAAGGACACTCCAATACAACTCCACAACAGGCAGCGAATGGGACACGTAAGAAGCACCACGTACAGTTCTCACAACTTCATACCACGGATGGATGATAAGAATGACTCTTCAGGACTGGCAATGGGCCCAGCCCTGCCACCGATCTCCTCCCTTCCTTGAGGGCCCCTAGCCAGAACCCTGGAGGATCATCACAGATGCTAACTCCATCTCCGAAACTACTCCAGGGTATCGCCCTCAAGTGCAATTTCAACTCAGGGTAAGAGACAGAACATCAGCCTGGATTGAAATGGCAAACATGATACCTTTTCATTCAACCTACAGGAACCCACAGGACTTTGTCCGGCACTGATATCATTGCTCTGATTCCTCACGTGGAAGAAATGGAGGCAGAGAGTCCCATTTGAGAGGTCACAAAGGAAATAACTGAGCAAAAATACCCTCTCACCTACTTTTCCTTCTGGGGCAGCCATACTGCCAGGAAGTACAATCAAGGGGGCTGAGAACGGAGTTCTCCTCGCACACGTTGAACAACATGAAGAAATGATCTCCCATGCTTTCATCTTGGTTGCAAGAGCAATGGAAACTTCCCCAGAAACCCAGATATCCCGGCCCAAGAAGGAAGCTGAGGCCCGGGCCACTGCAGGCTGTTCCGGATGCCCAGGCCCCCCTGAGAGGACAGAGCTCTCTGCACAACTTGTGGAGAAGCAGGAAGGGTCAGGAGTGGCCAGGAGGGGTGAGATATTGTGGGAAGAGGTCAGACAACCTGGTAGCCACATAGCAACTTCAAGGACTAGAATCTCCCAGAGGAATGGGGGACTCTGGCAGGTATGAGAACTGCAGGGAGCCCCAACCCGACT